GGGGTGAGGTTGTGGTGGCGAATAACTCAGTAAGCTATAGTTTATCTCCACAGTGTCATGTTAAGTTGCCACTTACAATGGAGTACGATATATTGGTATCGTTGTTATGTAAAAAAATGAGTGTGAGCAAACATTCGGTGAATATTGAAGTAACCAGAAGATATCCATATTATATCACTCCGCAAGGGGTTGCTTGTTATGCTGAGTTTAACATCGAAAACGATGTAACTCTGAGAGATTTTTTGAGGACTCCGGATGAATACCGGGAATTTCTTGTGATAAAAATGTTGGAAATGTACGTCAAAGCTGAAGACGTTCGCAATAATGAGGTTGCGCAAAGTAGGGATATCCCTCAGTCATCGGGTGATTATTTTGGAGCAGTTTTAGCCGAACAGGTTCCGGCTGAAAGAGTTTGGCCTGATCTAAACTTATCTCCACAGGCGAATGATGAGCGAGGTAATTTCTCTCCTAGTTTACATAATCCACAAGACGAGTGGTAAACTTCAATTTTCTTTTGTGTTACGATGTTTATTTTTGATGTATTGAATTTGTATTAACACTCATATATTCCACAGGGGGTACCTGCCAGATATAAATTTTATAAGTTATGAACCAACGCCGAGTAGAAATATGCCTAGTTCTGATATGTTGGATCATGGTAATCTATCTGAGAGTCATCACCAACAGGATAATGTCCATCATGGGATGTCAACAAATTATGTCATTACGATTTGTAGGTGAAGTGATAAAGTTATATGTAAAGTTTGGATCAATTTGAGTAACTCATTATTTTGTTAGTTGTGTAGTGAAAACGAGCAACTTGAAGGTCCTGTCCTTACTCAATTGCCCGAAGACGATATATTTAATCGGGATCTGGCAGATGCGCAGAGTGAAGAAGAGAATAGTGATTATGACAACAATTCTGAAGAGTTTGGAGATGACACACCCTTCCCTGATGAGGGTGATGATGAAGAGGAAGAGAATGTTGAACCTGATTTGACGAGGGAGCATGCTCCACTTCCTGTTAGACCAAGAGTGTACGAGTCCCAGGTGCCGTTTCATTCAAGGGAGATTCCCTACCTTGATCATTTGCCAAGTATGCCGGATGTAGATTCCCTCACAAGGGATATTGATGAAATTCGGACAGCAATGTGGGATGAATCTAGAGAAACGGTACTATCAAAGGGCATGCGTTTTCCTGATAAAGTGCGCCTAAGTAGGGCGGTGCGAATGTACAACGTAAAAGAGTGTCGTGAGATCACTGTATCAGAGTCATTTTAACTTGAATATTGACTTGATTTTTCTTGTCTTGATTCCACACATTGAAGCGTTCATAAGGTACAAGATCAAAGAGTGTATAATATCTGTCCACCAGGAATATGAGTGTACCATTACCAAAAGAAAGGCATTTCTCAGGGGGCAAACGTGCGTTTGAAATTATTTATGGTAGCTGAGATAAGTCATTTGCATCTCTACCCAGGTATATGGCCGCATTGCAACACTTTAACCCCGCGACTGTTGTTGAATGGAAGCTAGAGCGGAGTCTGTAAATATATGTTCTGGGCATTTAAATCAGCAATTGATGGTTTTGTGCATTGCCGGCCGGTAATATCCATAAGCGGCACTCATGTCTAAGAAACGTATGATATTAAGTTTTTGATCTTCGTTGCAGTAGATGCTAATGGAAGTATATTTCTCCTAACTTTTGATATTTGTGCCAATGAAAGCCAAGAGACGTGGACACTATTTTTGAACCACTTGAAGGAGCACATTGTCAGACAACTTTCAGTTATTTGTCTAATATCTGATTGGCATGGTGGTATTTTAAGTTCTGTACATAATTTACGTGCATGGCAGGAACCGTATGTCTACCACTGTTACTGTGTGAGGCACCTGAATGCCAATTTTCAGAAGGCATATCCCAATAAGGATTTGCATGATTTAATGTGGATGGCTACAAGATATCACCAAGAGTGTAAATTCAGGAGGCACATGAAATCTATCAGGCAGGAAGACGAAGGAGCCTATCGTTGGTTGATGCGACATGAGCTTGACAAGTGGACTTTGCATGCGGATAGTGGCAGAAGATGGGGAATTCTGACTACAAATGTGTTAGAATCTTTCAACGTGTTATTGAAGTCTGCACGTGGATTGCCTGTCACTGCCATGGTACGAATGTCATTCAAGCAGATGGCGGGGAGGTTTGTT